CGGCACCCGGCGCAGACCTGGGGCCGGCCGCGGTCTGGAGCGCCCCGGGGTGGGCGCAGGGCGCAGTCGGGGCTGGCCAGGCGCTCGGGGGGGCTCGTTTGCTTGTTGTCGTTGTCGTGGCCCGAGGGACACCGGGATTCAGAAATGGACGAGCGGAGGGAGAGCAGAACCGAGCGCGCGCCGGCCTCCGCGCCGGCCTCCGGGCGCTGCCCTCCTCCGCTCCGCCGCGCGGGTCTGCAGCCCGCGCGTGTCCGGCGCCGGGACCCAGGGAGCAAGTCTAGCTGACCAGGCAATTTCTTAGAATTCTGCCTGGTATTTGACTTTTTGCTCTGTAAGCAAATCAACTTCTTTTTTCAAGTTCTCTCCATTGACAAGCCTTGCTTTTCAAATTAATTTACAACTATGTTTCTTTAACTTTCTTCAGGTGTTCAGTTCAACAAAACTTGACTGAGCACCTGCTGCGTGCTGCACAAGCCCCCGGCCCGGGGGCACAAAGTTGAGTGGGACAGTCTGCGCCCCCGGGAATCCCCGGGACGGGCGTGTGAACAAACAGAGGACGAGGCAAAACGAGCTGTTGAAGTGTGTGCCCGACACCGGAGAGCGGGAGCGCGGCGCCCGGAGGTCGGGAGGGCCACCACCATAGAGCCTGAACAGGGTTTCCGAGGAGAAGAGAGAATTCAGCAGAGAGAAAGGAGTCGGATATTCTTGGAAGAAGGTGTATTCTTGCCTGTGAGCTCAATGAACATCAATTTAAAAAATTTCAACCTTCCTGGTTGAGGAAGGCTGTAGCTCCTTTCCTCATTCCTATCTTTATTGCACTTAAAGACAATTCCTTTAAAAAAAAATTCCTTAAAAATCAATTAATGACTGATCATCATCTCTCCTCTCCTGTGGATATCTGATGACCCTAGAGATGCCCCAGTGACTGCTCTCAGGATGACTGCAGCCCCCCTTTACAGTCATTCATTCCTCCTTCACCCAGGCCCTTTGGAGCCCCCATGGCTTCTGAATGAGCACAGGCCAGGCCTTGGAAAGTTTATTTCTAGACTTGCTTTCTTCAGAAGCATCGCCGGCTCACCTTCTGGTCACACAGGTTGAGTTATGAACACAGACGGCCCCTGGAAGAACTGATTGCAGAGTAGGAGGCTAAACTGGAAGTAGGTCAGGTAGTGGGCCAAAAGCAAAAGTCTTCCATTCAAAACTGTCAGAACTGAGACAGCAGCCAGGTATGAAATGTTGACAGTTCAGGTTATAGACACCGCTGTCAACTGCAGTGCTCCCCTGGGGAGGAGAGAGGCTGGGCCCAGGGAAAAAGTGCTGTCTGAGCTTGACCTTGGGGTCAGACCTACTTAGGACTTGCTTTTCCATGTATTTGGCTGGCTGTGGTCCCTTATCACAGGGTACTCATCGTCTCTGTAAGGTTGTAGGTTGGCATTATCTGAGTATATTCAGAAAATCATCCATGTGGCTTTCTAGAGTTCCAAAACTGTTTCTTCTGGCATTTCATTGACTGACTACTCATCTGAAAATCTTTTCTATCTTAATCTCTGGCTCGAGGTGTATATGACTTTTCCTATCCTGGGTGAAAACTGGCCCATTCTCGATAAGCTACTGAGCACTGAGCAGAAGTCAGAAGGTACCTACTAGGGGATGTGTGACTTCAGTCAGGGCCTTAGGCCTTGGAGACTTAATTCATCAGCTGAAAAATGGGAATGAAAATTCCCACCACAAAAAGTTTTTTTCTTTTAAGATGAGATGTTAGATGAAATAAGTTATGTAAAGAGCATAGTCTACTACCTGACACATAACATAGTCTAATAGAAATAGCTATCATCATTATCCATTATAATCTGTATATTAGGGATAATACACCTTTTCTGCTTATTTCTCAGGGTCTGCCCAAGAATTCCATAGGTATGCATTGAGTGCCAACAATATACCAGCCACTCATCTAGACCTGGCCACACGTGGCTGTTGAGCACGTGAAATGGGACTAATCCAAACTGAGATATGAGTGTCAAATATGCTCCGATTTTGAAAACTCGGTATGAAAAATAAAAAGAAGGTAAAAGCTCATTAATTTTTTTTTTTTTAATGAGGATGATTAGCCCTGAGCTAACATCTGTTGCCAATCCTCCTCTTTTTGCTGAGGAATATTGGCCCTGGGCTAACATCCATGCCCATCTTCCTCTACTTTATATGGGACGCCTGTCATGGCATGGCTTGACAAGCGGTGCATCTGTCAGCGCCTGGGATCCAAACCTGTGAACCCCGGGTCGCCGAAACAGAGTGGGCGACTATGCCACTGGGCCAGCCCCCAAAAGCTCATTGACTTTTTATATTGATTACATGTTGAACTGATGATATTTTGAATATATTGGGTTAAATAAATATATTTATTTATTTATTTATTTATTTCCCCCAAAGCCCCAGTAGATAGTTGTATCTCATAGCTGCACAGCCTTCTAGCCGCTGTATGTGGGACGCGGCCTCAGCATGGCCGGAGAAGCGGTGCGTCGGTGCGCGCCCGGGATCCGAACCGAGCCGCCAGCAGCGGAGCGCGCGCACTTAACCGCTAAGCCACGGGGCCAGCCCTAAATAAATATATTTAAAGTTAGTTTTGGTTTTTTAACTTTTTAAATGTGACTGCTGGAAAAGTTTAAATTACTTCTGTGACTCAAATTATTGAACAGTGCTGTTCTAGACACTGGTGAGACAACACGGAGCTTCCGTTCTAGTGAGGGAAGTGGAATAATAGACACATAAAACACACAAGTAATTGATCTTTGTTGGTAGGGGTTTAAGAGAAATAAGCCGGGTGATAGGAAAGAGGAGTGTGAAGGTGAGAGAGAATGTGAATGAGAGTAAGTGGGACACAGTGTTAGGTGGTATCTCCCTACCAGGAATTGCAAAGGGGGTGTCATCTTTCTTTACTGACATGAATCACAACGTGGTAGAGAGCCCTCTTCCTGAAGTGATCAATCAGGAACGAGTTTTTAACAGGTTTCGATGCTTGATGTAATCAGAAGGGACTTGAGGAGGATATGACAAACTTTTCCAGAGTGGTTGCACCAATTTTTAGTTTTGGAAGAAAATTCTAAGAGAGCCCACAGCACCCCATTCTAGCCATAACTGTTTTGTCCGACTTTTTCATCTGTGACAATGGGTGTCTCCTTGTGATCTTCATTTACATTTCCCTGATCACCCATGACAATGGCTTTCCATCAAATGCTTTTCCTCACTGGGGTTTTCTCTGGGAAGTGTCTGCTCAACAAATCAGCAACGGATGCTGATGCTGCTGGTCCAGGGACCACACTTTGAGAGCCACTGCCCATAAAAAATTATTCACCAGTATTTTTGACTAAGAATTTTAAAGTTTTGTTTTTGACCTTTTAAGTCCTTGGCATTACCTCTTAAAGTTATAAACACTTGTATACTTTATTACCTCACCATCCTACTCCCAGGTTGTGACATAATAAGAAAAATATCTCTGGTCTCTCCCCCCAGTTCCTGACACAGAGCTCCTAAATCCCTAGGGATTTTCTGGGTGATAGGAGCTTCTTTTGTTCTAACGAGGCAACTCTTGGGCTTCTGGATAGCTTCAGGATGGGGGCTAGTCACCAGAAAGGGAGGGGAGAGGGGCTGGAGATTGAGTTAATAATCAATCATGCCTACATGATGAAGCCTCTGTAAAAATACCTAAATTGTGGAGTTCAGAGAGCTGTCAGGTTGGTGAACACGTGGAGGTGCTGGGAGGGTGGCGTGCATGGAGAGGGCATGGAAGTTTCTCCCTCCTTCCCCGTACCTTGTCCTATGTACCTCTTCGACTGACTTTCATTGTATCCTTTATTAGATCCTTTACAACAGACTGGTAAATGTAAGTGTTTCCCTGAGTTCTGTGAGCTGTTACAGCAAGTTATTGAACCTGAGGAGGTGGGTCCTGGGAACCCCTGATTGGTAGCCAAGTTGGACAGAAGTGTGTGTATCCTGGGCACCCACTACATGTGACTGGTGTCTGAAGTGGGGGGCAGTCTTGTGGGACCGAGTCCTTAACCTGTGAGGTCTGACGCTATATCCAGGTAGATAGTGTCAGAACTGCTTGGTGTGGAAACCCACACATTTGGTGTCAGAAGTGTTCTGTTGATACAGGAAAACAGGCATTATCTTTTGCAGGTATATGCACAAGAGAAACTCTTGGACATGCACACTGTGTGAGTACAGCACACAGCAAATTCATAGTGACAGTGCATGCACACCCTGTGAGCACAGCGCACAGCACATTCATGGTGACAGTGCATGCACACCCTGTGAGCACAGCGCATGACACGTTCATAATGACAGCCCATGCACACCGTGTGAGCTCAGCGCACAGCACATTCACAGTGACAGTGCATGCACACCGTGTGAGCACAGCGCACAGCACATTTGTGGTGACAGTGCATGCACACCCTGTGAGCGCAGTGCACGACACGTTCATAGTGACAGCCCATGCACACTGTGTGAGCTCAGCACACAGCACATTCATAGTGACAGTGCACGCACACTGTGT